CAGGGCGCTTGACCGCGGCAGCCGAGGGGAAAGAGGCCTCCTTCCTGGAGGAGAGGTGCACACAAGTGGGGGCGCCTGGGAGCCTGTTGAACCTTCGCGCAGGAAAGGGTGACGGCTGGATGCTTAGCTGCCTCGATACGCACCTTGTGATACGCAACACGTACCGTGCTCAAAACGTCCGTGTCAATGCGCTGCGGGTTGGCCCGCGTGTTGGCGCACGTATCGCTTCAGACCTACGTTTGCAGGGTACGCGTTGAGCTTCGTATCCATACGCTACGTGTTGCGTGTTGCGTATCGGGGCAACTAAGGTGGGGGCGTCAGGGAGCTTGCTGAACCTTAGCGCAGGAAAAGGTGACGACTGGATGTGTCGCGCCACACCGCAGCGTCGCGATAGGATCGCGACTTGACCTCCCGACCCCACCTCTGCATCGGACTCCGGGGGCCCGATCGATCCGCGATGGTTTCAGGTCCCAAAAAGGAGTCGGCGGGCGGTGGGCAGCAGGTGGCGGGGCTGAGGTAGCGGCCTTTTAAGAATGCGGGGGGTTATTGGGCGCCTTTGCGCCTTGTGATCGGAAAATAAAAACCAAATTGCATAACCACGCGCGGATTTATTGGATCGGCGCTGCACTCCCCTCCCTGGCGCGCAAAGCGCGCCGGAGGCGGCGCTGGAGACGCCGCCGAGGGTGCCCAACGCGGATCCGAGAAATCCGCGCCCAGCTCCGAAAGTTTATGTTTACGCAGTTGATGGCTTCTCTGTGCAAGAGGCCCTCTCAGAACCATGCGAAAGCCAGTAAGGTCCCGGTATTGGTCTCAAGGAGGTTTAGCATGATTCGGCGTTCCTTATCATGCCGCCCCGAGACCGCGACCGCGACCACTCTTGGTCTCGGTCTCGGTTTGGGTGCATTATTCCTGCGACATTCAGTAACGCCGCCCGCGGACCACGACCAGTCACGGTCGCGGTGGCACTATTCGGAGACATTCATAATGTCCACGGACCAGGACCAAAACCGCGACCAGGACCACTCACGGCCACGCGGCAGCATTCGAATGTAATCCCAATGATGCCGCCGGACCAGGACCAGGACTGGTCACGGTCCTGGCTTTGCGGCGGCATTCTTACTCCCGAGTCCCAATACTGCCGCCGGACCAAAGCCAGGACCAGGACTGGTCACGGTCCTAGGCGGCATTACTACCCCCGAGTCCCAACGCCGCCGAACGAGGACGAGGGCCAGGACTGGTCACGGTCCTGGCTTCGGGGTGACATTATTATTCTTGAAGCAAAAGAATGCCGCCGGACCAGGACTAGGGCCAGGACCCTCGGACCAGCATCATGACTCCCGAACCCCAACGCCGCCCGACCAGGACGGAGACCAAGACTGGTCACGGTCCTGGTCTCGGGGTGGCATGTTTATTCCCAATCTCAATCATGCCGATGGACCAGGACCAGGACCCGAATTGGTCACGGTCCTGGTCTCGGAGCGGCATTGGTACTCTCGAATCCCAGTACCACAACCGGAATCCGATTGTAATCTTCCACAAAAAGAATCCCAGTGTAACCCTCAGCTACAGGATTCGGATTGCAACCCTCCACCAAAGAAATCCCCGTGCAATCTTTTACAAGAGGAATCCGATGGTAATCCTCCGCAACAGGAATCGCATTGCAATCCTCCACACAAGGAATATTAGCGCAATCTTCTACAACAGGAATCCGAGTGTAATCTTCCTAACAAGAATCTACGTGTAATCGTCCACAACTGGCATCCTATGGTAATCCTCCGCAGAAGGAAGCTGATTGCAATCCTCCACACAAGGCAACCCACTGCAATTCTCAACAAAAAGAATCTTAGTGTGAGCCTCCACAAAAAGAATCCGATTGTAATCTTCTACAAAGAGAATTCCAATGTAATCCTCCGCAAATGGAATCTGATTGTAAGCATCAACAAAAAGGAATCCGATTGCAATCTTCCACAAAGAGGAATCCCTTCTAATCCACCACAAAAATAATCCCATTGTAATCCTCATCAGCAGGAACATGATTTTAAGCCTCCGCAGCAGACATAATTACAATCCTCCACCGCAGAAATATAATTGTGACCGTGCACAAAAAGAATCCGATGGTCTGTACTATTAGTTTGATGCCCCAGTCCCAGTAATGCCGCCGGGCCAGGACCAGGCCCAGGATTCGTCCCAGTCTCGGGGCGGCGTTAATATTCTTCGAATCCCAATAATGCCGCTGGACCACGGCCAGGACCAGGACTGGTCACGGTCCTGACTCCGGGGCGGCATTGTTATTCCCGAATCCCGATAATGCCGCCAGACCGGGACCAGTGCCAGGACTGGACACGGTCATGCTCTCTCGGGGCGACATTATTGTTCCCGAATCCCGGTAATGCCGCCGGACCATAACCAGGGCCAGGAGTGGTCACGGTCTTGGTCCCGGGGCGGCATCATTATTCCTGAATCCCAATAGCGCCGCCGGACCAGGGCCAGGACCAGGATTGGTCACGGTCTTGGTCTCGGGGCGGCATTGGCACTCTCGAATCCCAATACCACAACCGGAATCCGATTGTACTCTCCCACAAAAAGTCTCATTGTAACCCTCAACTAAAAGATTTCTTTTGCAATCTTCCACAAAAGAAATCCCAATGCAATCTTCCGCAAAAAGAATCCGATTGTAATCCTCCGCAACAGGAATCCCATTGCAATCCTTCACGCAAGGAATCTCAGCGCAATCCTCTACAACAGGAATCCGAGTGTAATCCTCCACAAAAGGAATCCCTTTGTAATCGTCCACAACAGGAATCCGATTGCAATCGCCCACGAAAAGAATCTGAGTGTAGTCCTCTACACAAGTCATCCCATTGCAATTCTCCACAAAGGAATCTTAGTGTGAGCCTCCACAAAAGGAATCCTAGTGCAATCTTCTACGAAAGGAATCACAATGCAGTCCTCCGCAAAACGAGTCTGATTGTAAGTATCCACCAACAAGGAATCCTATTGTAATCCTCTCCTCAGCAGAAAAATGATTTTCATCTTCCACAGCAGACATATGATTATAATCCTCCACCGCGGAAATTCAATTGTAATCGTCCACAACAAGAATCCGAATGTTCTTACTAGTATTCCGATTCCCCCGTCCGAGTAATGCCGCCGGGCCACGACCAGGCCCAGGACTGGTCCCAGTCCTGGTCCCGGGGCGGCATTCGAATTCCTCGTGCCCCAGTACAGTCTCCCGACCAGGACCTGGCCCAGAATTGGTCACGGTCCTGATTCTGGGGCTTTCTTATTATTTTCGAATCCCGTGGGGCGGCATTGTCATTCCCGCTAGAGCGCCGCGTTTCCCTGGGCACCCCACGGGGGGAGCCGACCTGGAGGGAGACCTTCGCCCGGTCGAAGCCAATTCATGGGGATACCTCCATCTAAGCGCCCGTTTGGTGGCACCGATTCCTGCGCTTTCAGGGCACATCGCTGGGATGTCTCAAGCGCTGCGCTTCTTCGAACACCCCCAGAGGGAATCGTCATGCAGGGGCGCGCTCGTTCTTTCGAGGCCAGATTGTGGGAACGCCTCGAGCGAGGCGCCCGCACAGAGGCCCCGGCACTTTTGCTGTCATAGCAGATGGTGGGGATGGCTCGAGCGAGGCGCTTGTTGCAGCAACCATCGGGGATGCCGCCAAATGATAGGACACTCGCCCGTTCGCGGCTAGGTTGTGAGTATGCCTCAAGCGAGGCGCCCCGTTTGGAGTCCCCGACCCCTGTAGTTTCAGTGCCAGCTGTACGGATGTCTCGAGTGAGGCGGTTAGTCTAGGACGCCGAGGGAAGCCCGCCAACAGGGGTCTCACGAGCCCGTTCGCGGCCAGATTGGAAGACTGTTCCGGGCGAGGCGGTCGTTTTGCACCAGATGTTGCTCCCCACTCAGAAACATGTTCACTGCGATTCGGGCGCCCTCTCACGCTCCGTCACTGATAGTGGAGGAGCAAGGGGGGAGGGAAGGAGGGAGAGAGGAGGGAGGTAAGGATGAGGAGGGGGTAACGATAAGGAGGAGGAGGCGGATGCTGAGGAGGAGGAGGAGGAGGGGGGCCCTGCTGTCATCCAGGCCCCACTGCTTCACATGAGCCCTCTGCTGGGCAATGCCCCTGGCCAAGTCGATTAAGAAAAAAGCCTCGGCGCTAGACGTGCCCCAGCTGCTGTGCATCACCCTCTGCTGGTCAAGGCCCCTCCCCAAGATAATTAAGACATAATCCTTGGTGCTAGACGTGCCTCATCTGCTTTGCAACGCCCTATGCTGGGCAAGGTCCCTCACCAAGATGATTAAACACTTATCCTTGGTACTGGACGTGGCCCAGCTGCTGTGCATCACCATCTGCTGGGCAAGGCCCCTCCCCAAGTTGATTAAACTGAATTAGTGGTGCCAGACGTGCCCGATATCCTGTGCCGCACCCTCTGCTAGGCGAGGCCCCTCTCCAAGTTGATTCACAAAATATCCGTAGTGAAAGTCGTCAGCTGCTATGCAACGCCCTTTGCTGGGCAAGGCCACTCCCCACGCTGATTTAAAAAGAGCATCCTTGGTGCTAGACGTGCCCCAGCTGCTGCGCAGCTTGGTGCTAGACGTGCCCCAGCTGCTGTGCAATGCCCTCTGCTGGGCAAGGCACCTCCCCAAGCTGATTAAAAAAACATCACTGGTGCTAAACTGTCAGAGCTTTTCCCATAATGCAGTACTTGTGGCGAGCTGTAGGACTCGTGTAGTATAGCAGTACAGGCATCGTAGATAACATAGAGAAACCCAGTTCCTATCGAGACGCGTTTTCCCATCTCATAGAGAAGCAATACAGTACAGAAGTATCAATCCCATGAAGTGGGATAGCATGTTTCTCGGAGTTGTGAGCGAGAGTCTTCGGTAGCCTTATGCTCGAGCCTTGCTAGAAAAACATATCAATCATGGTAGCGTGAGCGATAACCTTCCATACCTTTGAGTATACAATCTGACTGCAGGTTCCCGCGCGATGGAGCTTTCAGCAGAGCAGCAGCGGTTCGTGATGGACATGATCGACCGCCAGGTGGAGGAGAGAGCCGCCGCGGACAGGCAGGCGGCGACGGCCATGATCGAACAGGAACGTGCCAGGTTCAACGAGCAGCTGCAGGCATCGACCCAGCAGAACAACCAGATGGCCGAGCAGCTCCGTGCCCTGGAGCAGGCGCGGCAGCAACAGCAAGCGGCGTTCCAGGCATTGCAGGCGCAGCAGGAGCCACAGCAGCAAGGACCGGGACGCCAGGCCGACTTCCCCAACTCTGCAGACGACAAGCTTGTGGACATCAAGTTCGGTAAGCTTGGCCAGTTCACGAACAAGGATGAGGATTTCGAGGAGTGGAGTTTCAAGCTGAAGTCGGGCATCAGCTCGCTCAGCGAGGAGGCGTGCCATCTTATGGATTCCATCGAGGACGACCCAGAGACCGACGTGACCAACGATCCAGACATTGCCCGGTACGGCTTGGAGACGTTGTCAGAGAAACTCTACTTCGCGTTGGTGATGCTCTCGAAGGCGACTGCAGCTAAGATCGTCAAGAAGGTCTCGTCCAAGAACGGTTTCGAGGCCTACCGGCAACTCGTGAAACGGCACGGCCCCTGTGGTGGAGGCAAGACCGTGGCGCTGATGGGCCAGATCCGGGACTACACGTTCGGTGAGCCTAAGGACTTCCTCGACAACTTGGTTTCGTGGGAGGCACTGATAGACCAGAGGGGGACGGAAGCAGAGGAAAAGCTTGCGGACAGCGTAAAGTGCTCTACGCTCATCCTGAAGTCCCCGAAGATCTTGAAGGACCATCTTTTGCTTACCACCAAGAAGGAAAAGGATTACGGCAAGCTCCGAGCGAAGGTCGAGGACTACATGCACAACGTGGTCAACGCCAAACCCAAGAAGAAGGGCGAGGACCAAGATGCCATGGACGTCGGCTACACGGCAAAGACCCCAAAGGCGGTAAGTACCAAGGTGGCAAAGGCAAAGGAAAAAGACGGTAAGTCGAAATCGTCCGACGGCAAAGGCAAGGACGGCAAGTCGAAGTCGTCGGGCAGTAAGGGTAAGGATGGCAAGTCGAAGGCTTCTGGAGGTAAAGGCAAGGGGACATCGTGGTACGACTCGTCCTGGCAGAGGGGCAGTACGTGGTCATGGAAGGATCGGAGCGGCTGGAACGATCGCTCCGTCAACAACACTTGGACTTCCTCGAGCGGCTCCTGGCAGGAGTCGCAGCCGGCCGATGCGGGCAACAGGAAGACGACCAACAAGGACGGCACTGTTACCCACATCTACGAGGACGAGGACGAGTGGATCATGGGCGTCGAAGAGATCTCGGGCGAGGAGTTCGTGCTTTCCACTGCGGCCACGAAGAGCGAGGTCCGCAAGTACGACTACGGCAACATCGGGGATGCAGTTGATGTGCTTTCCGATTCAGGCAGCAGCGTGACTTGCTGCAACCCGCGAGACTTCCCCAAGTCTCCGATCATCCAAGGCGACGAGGAAATCTACAGAACTTCAAAGGGCACCGTCCTCAAGTTCTACGGCTACAAGGATGTGGTGCTGCGTAAGGACAGCACCAAAATCAAGGTTAAGTTCACAGTTCTCGACGTCGTGAGGCCGATCCTCAGCGTCTCCGACTCGGCTAAGAAGCACGACATCTCCACGCATTACGAGCAGGGCAACAACTACATGGAGCGAAGGACATCTACTGGTGTTCGAAGGCTTGGGCTGATGGCGCGAGCAGGCCTCTTCTTCCTGCAGGCCATGGTCACAGCTGGCAGCAGCGTGCGTTTTGGGAAGTCCCAAGTGCACCACGTCTACAACAACGAGGGCGCCACGGAGCTCGACTTGGGCCCCGAGTCAGCCGTGGTGCCGCACCCCGCGGAAGCGGCGCCGGTGGTTCCAGCTCCGGCAGAACCGACCCAGCAGGAGCGGGATCATCACATAGCCCTGAACCACGCGCAGTTCAAGTCCTGGTGCAAGTTCTGCGTTTCTGGGCGCGGGCGAGAGAACGCCCATCACAAGGCAGATGAGATCGACCATAACATTGCGAGAGTTCAGGTCGACTACTTCTTCATGCGTCGGGTGAAGGCGGGGCAGATGCTGACGTGTCTGTCCGCAGTGGACTCAGTGCATCGGCGGAGGCGAGCCGCTGTCTTGGATGCGAAGGGCAGCACCGACAAGTACGCGGTGCGCATTCTGAAGTATTTCGGGGACCAGCTCGGTTACGAGAAGATCATTTGGAGGACCGATCCAGAAAGTGCGGCCGCCGACCTGATCAGGGCGGCCTGCCACGGTCGCGACGGGTGGACGTACGAGTCTAGCCCCAAGGAGAGCAAGGGCAGCCTCGGCCTTGTCGAGCGCACCCACCAGGACGTCGAAGGTCTGACGAGAACCATACTTCTGGACGTCGAGAGCAGGTACGGAGTTGAGCTACCGGCCGAGTTCCCTCTCATCGAGTGGATTGTTCGGCATATTGCATGGCTCATGGACAGGTTCTGGATCGCCCCTGGTGCTGGAGTCACGCCGTTCGAGCTCCAGTATGAAAGACAATATCACAGTCCAATGGTTCCATTCGCAGAGACAGTCATGTGGAAGGAGCCTGGGCCTCACACATTCAAGTTGCGCGAGAAGTTCGGCCAGGGCATTTGGGTTGGCAGGAGCGAGGCCACCAACTGCCATCTGATTCTCACGAGGCAGGGAGCCTTCGAGGCTCGTACCATCCGACGCCTGCCACCGAGCGAACGTCACGATTTTCAATTGCTGTTGGCATCGAGGGGGGCCCCCAGCAGGATTCGACCGCCCGACGAAGGAGCCAGGCCACTACCCGTTGCAGAGGTTCTGGGCCAGCCAGCAGCTCCACCAGCACCCGCAGCACCGGGTCCAGCTCAGCCAGGTCAACGTGGGCAAGCAGTACGTCCAGTTCAGCCAGCAGTCGTTATCCCACCAAGTGGGATAGGTCGTCCCGGAGAGCCGGCAGAGGACGCGGCCATGGAAGAGCCGCGACAAGGGGCCAAGGCGTAAAGAGACATCGAGGACGGCAATCCACTCGAGCCACCGCCAAAGAAAACTAGAGGCAGACCAGTTACCCGTGTACTGCCACTGCCGACGAGCAAGGAGTTCACCCCTGGCTGCTCGGGATGTCTCGGCACATCTTACAAGCATAGCAAGTTCTGCAAGGAGAGGAACAAGGAGTTCTTCGAGCACATGGAGATCGATAAGCTGGCAACGAAGGTCCAGCGCGACGATGAGAGAGAGTTGCTCCGGAGCATCGAACGAGCAGAGAAGGCATCGAAGGTTCAGCAAGGAGCCAGTGCAGCAGCGCCAAGCTCTGGTTCGCTGCCAAGTTCATCAACAGACCCGCCGCAGCCGCCATCGGGCGACGCGGGCGCCATGAACGCAAGTCACATCTACAACTTGGAGGTGAATTGGATTTTTGACACAATCCGTCACCCCGACAACTTCACGAAGGAATTTATCCAAGAGGTTTTTACCAAGTACCACGCCGCGTGCCACGTCAACGAGGAGGAGCATTTCATGAAGGACCTGCTGGACGACCCGAACGAGGTCGATTTCGGCGACCACTTGGACTATGACGAGGACGACGGCGAGGCTTTGGATCCAGGCCAGGTCAAAGAGGGCATCCAGAGGGAGCTCGACATGATGCGCGACCTGGACGTCGGCGAACCCGTCAGGCGCGACGAGATAGCCACAGGTACGAAGATATGGACTACGCGCTGGTGCCTCCGCAAGAAGGCTGGTGGAGTTCGAGCACGACTAGTCGTTCGCCAGTACAAGTGGATCGCAGGCAAGTCCGACGACAACTTCGCCCCTACGCCCGGCATCGAGGGCATCCGACTTCTCATAGCCGTCGGGTTAGTCGAGGGCGCTGATTTCATCACTGGTGATTTCTCTGTCGCTTTCATGCACACCGAGTTGGACGAGGAAATCTACGTCTGGCCACCGCCGGAGATGGGTTTGCCATCCGGGACTGTCTTGCGCTTGAAGGAGGCGCTCAACGGACTTCAAAATGCCAGCAAATTGTTCAGCGAGAAGGTGCAGCGCATATTGAAGGAGGAGCTGGGATTTCGAGCAACACGGGCAAACCCAGTCATCCTGTACAACGAGCGAAGCAGCGTCAAGGTGGCAATCCACGTGGACGACCCCCTGGGCATCGGCCAGGAGAAGCAGGTGCTCTCTCTCCCTCTTCGACGAGTTAGGGAAGCGCTTGAAGTTCAGAGTCGGCGTCAAGTTTGGACCAGAGGTTCCATGTGTTTTCTTGGGATGCTCGTATCTACGCTTTGGAGATACCGTCGTCGAGATGCCGAAGAAGAACTACTTCGAGAACACCCTGAAGGCAATGGGCATAGAGAAGTGCGTCAAGGTCACCACACCAGGGTCCAAGGAGTGGTTCAGCACGAAGGCCTTGGACAGCCAGGACGCCACGCCCTTGGATAGAGAGGAGCATCACAAGTTCCGACAGGGCGTGGGGAAATTACAGTATGGAGTTGACAAGAGGTTCGACTACAGCTATGAGTTGAAGCTTTGCGAACGCCGTCTCCACGCACCTCGAGCAGTGGACATGTCACGGCTCAAGCGCATACTGAGGTACGTCAAGGGTACTCTGGATTACGTCATCACGTTAAGCATCAAGGACACGAGCGACCTCAAGCGACTCGTCGGCACCAGTGACTCAGACTGGGCTGGCGACCCTGAGTCGCGGAAGAGCTCCAGCGTGGGCACGGTATCATGGGGAGGTTGTCTTATCTCCCATTTCTCTCGTACACAGGAGGTCGGAGCCGTGTCATCCCCAACAGCAGAGTTCTACGCATCATGCTCACTAGCAGGAGACATGTTGTACATCTCATCCATCCTCGAGGACCTCGGGTACCCCGTCGACAACGTCATCGAGACCGACAGCAGCTCTGGAAAGTCCATCACGCTACGCCGTGGACGTGGAAGAGTTCGCCACTTGGACGTTCGTGCTCTGTGGCTTCAACAACTGGTAGCCGCACGTGCAGTCCAAATCCTAAAGATCCCAGGTGCCGAGAATCGGGCAGACGTTGGCACAAAGCTGCTGGACGCGAGGACCCTAAGGCGCCACCTTCAAAGTCTGGGCATGCGCCGGTTCGTCAATGGCGAGCTCCTGGACATAGAGGACGGCGACACCGAGGGCGAGAACGAGGTTGACTTGGTGGGAAAGGACGTTAACCACATTTCATTGAGCAAAGCAATGACGTGTTCAATATCTGGAAGCAAGCGTTTCATCCCGTGTATGCTGCTTGTTTCAAACATGGCAGGCGCTAAGGGCGCCGACCCAACATCAATGAGCCCAATCATTACGACCAACTTCGACAGCTTCTACGCATTTGTCATGTTCACGTTCCTGGCAGGCGTGCGCGCGGGGCTGTTGACGTCGAAGAGCGTGGCGTGCATTCGTGGATGCAAGAGGCCGGTGCAGGTGGGCCATGTGAGCTCAACCCAAGGTCCGTCACCACACTCCGCTACAGATGCTACGCCGGACAAGCAGGGTTACATCGACCCTCCAGCCTCGGTCTACCGGGGGCCGAAGAGGGCAGCTACGAAGATCGTTACGGAGGACCTCAAGCAGTGGGTCTACATCACGTCGGAATACAGCCAAGTGTACCACACGAGGGGCACATGCCGCTCTATCAAAAATCTCAACACTCTGAGGCATCTTCGAATTTGCGAGTTCTGTCACCACGACGACTGAGGGGAATTGCTTGTTGTATCTTAGAACGGCAGATCGATTTCTGCATTTCGTATTTCAATGAACCGTTGCATTTTCACCGACAGCGGTGAAACCTCCGCAGTAATGAAGATTCCGATTCCCTTGGCCGCGAAGGCGGGGTGTCAGAGCTTTTCCCATAATGCAGTACTTGTGGCGAGCTGTAGGACTCGTGTAGTATAGCAGTACAGGCATCGTAGATAACATAGAGAAACCCAGTTCCTATCGAGACGCGCTTTCCCATCTCATAGAGAAGCAATACAGCACAGAAGTAACAATCCCATGAAGTGGGATAGCATGTTTCTCGGAGTTGTGAGCGAGAGTCTTCCGTAGCCTTATGCTCGAGCCCTGCTAGAAAAACAGATCAATCATAAACGTGCCCCAGCTGCTGTGCAACGCCCTCTGCTGGGCAACGCCCCTCCCAAACTTGATTACATGAGAGTCCTTAGTGCTAAACGTGCCCCAGCTGCTGTACAAAGCCCTCTGCTGGGCAAGGCTGATTTAGAAAAAACATCATTGGTGCTAGACATGTCCCAGCTGCCGTGCATCAACATCTGCTGGGCAAGGCCCCTCCCCAAGTTGATTATAAGGAATTCTTGGTGCTAGACGTGTCCCAGCCGCCGCACATCACCATCTGCTGGGCAAGGCCCCTCCCCAAGTTGATTATGAGGAATCATTGGTGCTAGACGTGCCCGATATGCTGTGCCTCATCCTCTGCTGGGCGAGGCCCCTCTCCAAGTTGATTCACAGAATGTCTGCGGTGCTAGACGTGCCCCAGCTGCTCTGCAACGCCCTCTGTTGGGCAAAGCCCCTCACCAAGTTGATTACAAAAGAGTGCTTGGTGCTAGACGTGCCCCAGCTGCTGTGCAAAGCCCTCTGCTGGGCAAGGCCCCTCCCCAAGATGATTAAACATTAATCCTTGGTGCTAGACGTGCCCCAGCTGCCGTGCATCACCACCTGCTGGGCAAGGCCCCTCCCCAAGTTGATAAAACGGAATTCTTGGTGCTAGACGTGCCCGAAACGTTGTGCCGCACCTTCGCTAGGCAGCACCCAATACTCCACAGCCTCCCTCTCCAACACATTGCCCAATACTCAACGGCCCCTATCCCAAGTGTAAGTAAAAAACACCCTCTTCGTCAAGAGCCTCCGTCTCCAACAGAGTACCCAATACTCCGCAGCATCCGTCTCCAACGAGCGCCACCGGCGCAGCCGTCGCCAGCGCCGTTGCCGCCGCCTCGGTCGTGCGGGTGGTCGTCGTCGTCGTTGTCGTCGTGGTCATCCTGGCCGTCGTCGTTGCCGTCGCCGTCGCCGTTGTCGTCGTCGGACTTTCGTGCGGCGAGCCGATGTCTGAAATGGTTTGGGTTTTCAGGGTGCGCCGAAGAGTTCTGATAGTGCTTGGACCTTTCTCGGTTTGCTCAGGCTCTCTTGTGCTTTCCGCGGCCCTTCCCTGGACCTGCGCCCTATGCTAGACAGGCCTCCTCTGCTGGTCAGGCTCCCTCCCCAAGCTCATGAAAAACATGTCCGTGGTGCTAGACGCGCTCTTGTGCTAGTCCTGCGCCATCTGCTAGGCAGGCCTCCTCTGCTAGGCTGGCTTACTCGCCAGGCGAATGAAAGAATCCCAGTGGTGCTAGACGCGCTCCTTTGCTCCAGAAGCCCCCATCCTCTGAGCAGGCCCCCTCGCCAAGCAGATCGAAACAGTATCAGTGGCGCTAGGCGCGCTCCGCTGTTACACAAGCCCCCTCTGCTAAGCAGGCTCCCTCGCCAAGTTGATGGAAACAATCCCAGAGGTGCTAGACGCGATCCTTTGCTAGACAAGCCCCCTTCTGCTAGGCAGGCTCCCTCGCCAAGGTGGTTTAAGACATCTTTCTGGTACAAGGCGCGCCCCTCTGCTCCACAAGCCCCCTCAGCTAGGCAGAGCCCCTCTCCAACATGATTTAACCAATCTCAGTGGTGCTAGGCGCGATCCTTTGCTGGACCTGCGCCCTCTGCTAGACAGGCCTCCTCTGCTGGACCAGTCCTGGTCAAGGTCGCGGTCGGGGCGCATTATTCGGATTAGGTAATAAGAGCGCCGCCCCACGACCGCGACCAGGACCAGTCCTGGTCGCGGTCGCGGTCGGGGTGGCCTATTAATAATAATGGCGCCCCGCGACCGCGACCAGGACCAGTCTCGGTCACGGTCGCGGTCGGGGTGCCTTATTAGGATTAGTTAATACTAATGCCGCCCCGCGACCGCGACCAGGACCAGTCCTGGTCGCGGTCGCGGTCGCGATCGGGGTGCTATTATTGTTCCATTGGACTCCCTCCCAGACCGCGACCAGTCACGGTCTGGCTCTGGCGGCTGCAATATTGAAGGCACATTCGAATGCACCCCGACCGAGACCGTGACCAGGACTGGTCCTGGTCACGGTCGCGGTGCGGCATTATTATCATTGCCGAATGGCACCTTAATAATGTCACCGGCGACCAAGACCAGGATTGGTCTTGGTCACGGTCGCGGGGCGGCATTATTATCATCTAATTTAACAGTGCCACCACGACCAAGACCCGGTCCACACTCGCGAAGGACCCCCTCTGCGCGCCAGGAGCTCGGGCAGCAGTGCCCGTCGTTACTGTTTCACGACGCCCAGATGCAAGGCTTCGGCGGGCGCAGCGACCACGGCGGCGGTTGCGGCGGCGACGACGCCTACACCACGACCACGACCACGACGACGACGACGACCACGACGACGACGACGACGACGACGACGACGACGACGACGACGGCGACGACGGCGGCGGCGGCGGCGACGACTGCGACGACGACAATGACGACGACGTCGACGACGACCTCAAGCCGCTGGGCGCGCGGCGGCGGCTCCGCCGCGCCGAGGTGCCGACGGCGGAGGGCTGCACCCGCTGCTGCGGCTGCGCCACGAACAGCTGGCCTCGCGAGGCGGCGCGCGGGCTCGGCGGCCGCCCGCGGCCCCCGAAAGCCTGGGTCGGTCTGGGAGGTCGCCGCGGCGATCGCGGCGGCCACCAATCGGGGCAAAGCTTTGTCGAGGAGTGGCATGCCCCTTCCAAGCCCCCGCCCCCCACTCTCTGCCGTGCAGACGTGGCTCCTCATGAACCATGTGTGCGACGCAAGCATTACAACAAGAAAAAAAACAAAAAAAAACGAGGTCGTCTTCGCCGACATTGGCGCGCAAGCTGCCCGCGTAAGGTCGCGTGTAAGCGCCCTCGTCTCCAATGCAGCATGCCGCGCGGGCGGCCCGCGTAAGCCGCCGCGTGAGGTCGCTGTGTCATCTCGCGTGAGACCCGCTTTTGATCGCCGCTCATGTAGCCACGAAGAGTTGACAATGTATGTCCAACATGGGCAGTCATGTTCGGTGTTGGGGGCCGGCTATCACGCAAAAATTTGCAGCGCTCCTGACTGTTGCCAACCTCCCGTCCACGAAGCAGAGCGACCCTTGTGAGCTTGCAGGGCAGGGCGTGTCGCAGGGGTTGCCGCCGCGAGACGCGCCAAGCCAAAGTTCTTTTTGTCGTAGACGTGCACATCCACGGCCCCTGGCCAGGCCCATCTTGGGCCCAGGAGCGGCGCGTGTACCTCCCCGGCCAGGACCGGTGGGGGCCTCCATCTTGCTTGCCTCCAGGGTGTGCTTGGGCTTCGATGTTTTTGCCATGAGAAGCCTGACGTTCCCACACCAAAGATCCATGGACGTCATGGAGTCTCAGGGCTGGGTTTCTTGTGGAAGGCTTCTTGTCTCCTGGGCCCGGGATGGGGGCAGTGCACACGCGTCGATCTCGTCGCCTTGCGCCTGCCTCATGCTGCTGGCCGCTGACGCCACGGGCCAGGCTTCCTCCGCAGTACCTCCTCGCCATCGCCCTCCCCACCCCATCTCTCTCTCCCATCCTTCCCTCTTTCCTTCCTCTCCTCCCTCCCTCCCTCCTCCTCCTCCTCCTCCTCCTCCTCCTCCTCCTCCTCCTCCTCCTCCTCCTCCTCTCCTCCTCCTCCTCCTCCTCCTCCTCCTCCTCCTCCTCCTCCTCCTCCTCCTCCCCCCTCCTCCTCCTCCTCCTCCCTCCTCCTCCCTCCTCTCCTCCCCTCCTCCTCTCCTCCCTCCTCCGTCCTCCCTCCTCCTCCTCCTCCTCCTTCTCCTCCTCCTCCTCCCTCCTCCTTCTCCCTCCTCCTCCTCCTCCCTCCTCCTCCTCCTCCCCTCGACCTACCTCCTCTCCTCCTACTCCTCCTCCTCCTCCTCCTCCCCTCCTCCTCCTCCTCCTCCTCCTCCTCCTCCTCCTCCTCCTCCTCCTTTCGCCTCCTTTTCTCCCTCTCCTTTTCCTCCTCCTCCCTCCCTCCTCCTCCTCCTCCTCCGCCTCCTCCTCCTCCTCCCCTCCTCCCTCCCTCCCTCCCTCCCTCCTCCCTCCCTCCCTCCCATCCCTCCTCCCTCCCTCCCTCCCTCCTCCCCCATCTCCCTCCCCCTCCTCTCCTCCTCCCGTCCTCCTCCTCCCTCCTCCCTCCCCCTGCCTCCTCCTCCTCCTCCCTCCTTCATCCCTCTTCCCTCCTCCCCCTTCTCCTCCTCCTCCTCCTCCTCCTCCTCCTCCTCCTCCCTCCTCCTATCCTCCTATTCACTCCTCCTCCTACCGCCTCCTCCTCCGCCTCCGCATCACCTCCTCCTCCGCCTCCAGCCTCCCTCCTCCTCCTCCTCCTCCTCCTCCTCCTCCTCCTCGCCCTCCTCCTCCTCCCTCATCCCTCCTCCCTCCTCCTCTCAGTTCGTTGGAGGTCCAGCAGTTTTTGGCGCCGAGGTATTTGCAACAGAGGTCGGTTTTGAGCAGAGTGATTTTGCCGTCTCGTTCTCTGGTTGCTGGTTCACCGAGGGGCGTGGGCCTGGCTAAACTGTTTTTGCACCCGATTCTGGACATGGTGCATAGGCGTTCGCCTGCTGCGGGACTCTGGACGTTCGTGGATGATACGACTGCGCGGTGTGAAGGTAGTCGTGCTTCAGTGGGGCCTG